GTTTTTATCATTTGATCGATTTTTGTCTCGAATTCGATCTTCTTTGTTGCGAGTATGTCATTATTTATTTGAGGTTTCTTTTTGAGAATTAATTTTCTTCTCTCATTATTAGTGTTAATACATATTTGGGGTGTGGGTGTGGGTGTGGGTATGGATGTGTATGGGTGCGTGTTGGTGTATGATTATGGATGATTGAAGAAGGATAAATTCTGCACCTAAACCCATACCCACACACTTATACCCGCAATCATGACAACTTATTTGTATCTATCGAATAATTCTGCCGCATAAACATTTGAGGCTGTGAGTTCGATCGTATGTTTGCGATAAAGACTCTGAATTTTCATCTTCTTATTCTTAGTGGATTGTTTCAAGGTTCTTTTATCATCCATGGCATCAAGGTGCATCCCAACAGTCAAAAGCAATTTGGAAATCAATTTCATATCGTATATTTGTTTATTCCAATAATTTCCATAATAGTCATGTACAAATGTATGTAATAATGCATTGCGTGGGTGTGAGTGTATTGTTTCGTCTTCACTGACACCTAAACACTCATTCATACCTATGAAATACCATCTCTTGTGTTTTCATATCAATAAAATTTATTCGAGTTGCACTGGGTCACTTTGTATGCTTTTTATTTTAGCAAATTTTTGTATATCTGCATGCAATAAAAATTGTTTTTTTGTTGCGCTTCTTGCTATAATCTCTCTTACCGATGATTTCTGCTGTATTGGGAGAAGGATATGATTCATATTCACTTATATCATTCTCGATATTTCTTTGTTTCGATCAAACATACATCTTTCGAGATGGATAATGAAATACTTGATTCTTCTTTCTAATAATATATAGTGTGCACTATTAAAATACAGATTGAAAAAGGATTGAAAGAACATCGAGTTCTATTTGCAGTAAGTAAAACAATACATTCTTATATATAAATAGAAGGTGCCCCTTGATTTGTAATCGCATACTAGTAAAGATTCATTGATAGAGTGAACGAAAGGCTATTCCGGATTTTGATGTACAATATCTCTGATACAAAACAAGATTTTGTCTTTGAATATTTTTTGTAGATCATAATTACTGAAATTTAGTCTCTTCATTACAAATGACCCTATCCATTTCTCATCCGTTAAGAGTACCTACAGCACCTGTGAGTAAAACTTTGAAACGAACTTATATGATAGGTTTTAATTGCACTACCACTAGTATACTTTAATAGTGAAGAAAGCCGATGATTATTTTTTTTTATTGTTTAGATAAGTATCTAGAGAAGATCGAACACAATTCTTTAAAATATCATTTGGCAAATTAACACATTCATATTGCCACTGGAAAGAAGGTGTCATCTGGAACCCATTAGGATTTCCTAGCAAATGTAAATAAACCGTAAGAAAGTATTTCAAACCTCTAACAGGTCTTTTAAAAGATTTTTTGCGTCAATAAGAAGCGATAAAAGTAGATCACAGCTCTTCTGAGACAGAAGAGGAGAAAAGCCAGTGGAAAGAAAAAGGGACTAGCAGCAGTCTATTCAATAGTTGCAACTATTAATTTCATATTTTGTCGAAATGTAGCTAAGATTTCATAATGATTATCTGCATACACATAGCCTTTCTAATGTGAAAGATTCCGGAACACGAAGTTTTCAGATTTTGAAAAAGACGAGTACAAAATAGAAAGTAACTATTCTATTCTAATCTCCTTTTTAACAAAATAAGACAGCAATGTATTTTCATATACTCGATATAGTTATTCATTATGTACTATATGAATCTATCATGCATTAGTTACTCTTCAAAGAACTGAAGAGGTTATCATTAGTAAATCGTTTGCAACTTTGAAATCCTTGAAAACAAAACATTATTTAGATGCATATTACACTTCATGCTATAGTTTTTATTCGATATCTATCTTTGCGTGCAAATTACCTCAATGAAAATCTGAAAACTTTTATGAAAAATATCTCATTGTCTATTTATAGTGGAGCGCAGATATGCGTAAATAAGAAGTCTATTTAGGAAAAAATATATCGTGTACTAATTTATCACTTGAAAAAGCTTAGTAAGCAGTCGATGAATACAAGTCAGAAGTACAAGAGTTTTGCATATAATGAATATGAACTGAAATATACTTGTTAATCTAAAGTTGTTAGAAAGCCATACAAGCTGTAACACGGATTGGGCCAAAAGCGACATGTTTCTTTATGATGACATCGTTTATTTATAATCTGATTAGCCAAGGTTAGTCACAAATAAGACTTTAGGTCAATCCATAGTTTGAGTCAGAAAAAAATTCACACAGAAGACACAATTCCTTCTTTAAGGTTTTTACTTATGCATCAGCTAATATTATGAAAATGGACAAAAGAAGACGCAGCAGCACCTAAAGTAGAGCCAACAAATATTGTAGAAAGCGCATCATATTCAAATGTGCAGATTTGAAGCAAGTCTTGTTGTGACATGTAAATGAGTTGACTGATGTTCTGAAGTTTATCACAAAAAATCTGAAGGTAAAAACACTTCAGGTCTATTTATACTATTTAATGTAATTCCTGCTAGCTTCGACTACAAAAATGATTTATTTCCACCAAAATTTTCTATTTCAGACGAACTTTAGAAATATCGTGTAAATCGTCGTATTTTTTATGAAAGAAAAAAATTGTAAAACTACGAAGTAAATTATTTTAAACTCTTTGACAAAATCTTTTTCTTCTTATCTCTTTTTTTGCAACTATACTTTATTTCAAATTTATAAGCGAGTAAAGATATGACTTAAGAGTTTTAGTAGTGAAATTTATGCACCGAAAAGAAATAAAACTTTCATTTCAGATCTGTACTCAGTAATAAACTGAATACAATGTTTGCCAGCATGAAAAAGTAGGGGAGAAAGATTTTTTCCAGGGCGTATATGTGATTGATACGAAAACAATCGCATGACTTTTTCATATATTTAATTCATAATACAGTCAGAGAATCGATTCTAAAATGAAAGGTCAACATAAAATCTGCAGTTGATATGTGTTTGCTGATTATTTATTTATTCAAAACTTCATGCCATAGAAATGAGTGATCACTGTCTACAAATTATCAAAAAAATTTCGATAGAAGGTTATATTTAAGATACTATATCTGAACCAAGCTTTAAATGTGCATTCACTGAGGGTAGATCATAACATACTCTACCAAATAACAAGTTGAAGCTTGGATCAAAGTTTTGAAGAAAGCTATGGAAATAACTGAATTATTGACCAGTTGTTTGGTTTTGCTAAATTGAGCGTAAGATTTTGATCTTATTGTAGTCTAAAGAACTTGAAGGTGTTCAATGAGTCTGAATGTACGGAGTAAATGCATCAAACTGTATTACTATAAGAAAACTAACGAATATCACTGGATCTTCAATTTAAAAGAGAGATTTCACTTGTATGATCGTGTTAATGATATTTATCTATTTTTTGACACCTGCTATTTAACTGACAGTCACTATCAAGCAGCATTTTTTGTTTGTACTTAAATACATCACTATGGTAGTTTGAATTCTAGTTTTGATATAAACTTCAATCTCGTCAATCGATTTTGTCACCAATCGTCCAGTGTGGATAGAGAGGTGAAACCCTAAGAGTTAAAAACGTCTTAATGCTGAAAAGAGCAGTTACGCAAGTAAAAAACCTTTTTGAACAGATGAATATTTCATTCTCTATCCTTATGCATCTCATTGTGACACAAACTGCATCAGAGTTTTAAAAAAAAGAGCATCTATCGCTTTTACTAAGAAAAAGAAATTGTTGAAATGACTGCATATAATAGTTTGTCCGATATTACGCGAAATGTTTTGCCATTATTAGTCATTGAAACATAGATATTATTATTGATTCTAAAAAAATTATAGATACTTTTCCAATTTAGCGTCAGAACAGTCGAATACTGTTGAAATGATTATCTTTTTTTCTTTCTGTTATTAAATGAAATTAGATTAATAAAAGAACAGTTTACTTTGTACCATTCACTAGAAACTAGGCACTTGAATAATTTGATGAATACTAAAAAAGAGTTTTCACTAAAGTAGAGAGAAATTTTAATGATAGTGGACATTGTCTTCTTACCCACAATTTTCTGGATACGCCATCATTTCAGTCCTACTGATGACTATCTATCAGCGTAAGATGCTGTCACAACACACATTAGCAAAACTCAAAGTGGTACAAATTCTTAAGGCTCTGTGGCAAAATAATTCCAAATCTCGATTCTTACAAATTTTAATTTACAAAAATTTTACAAATTCCAACGAATTGAAAAATAATTCCTTAAAAGTTGAACTAATATAGATGTAATTATTTGTTTGAGCAGCATAGTTTGATTTTTTTCCTACAAGATAACTTTTCCAAAACTAACTCGATGATGATGATTTTAGAAAATAAGACTTTTTGTTAATATTACGATCGATTATCAAATTTTTTATCAGTTTAAGACTATAATTTTGCTTAACAAAAAATCGCCTTTCAAATGCACACAAAAAAAAGTTCAAAATTTAAAATTTCTCAAATATCTTGTACATTACTGTCATGCACGATGCTGTCATGGGGTCCCCTCAATTTTTCAAGTTTAATAAATTGCTTAACGGTATCTTGGAAAAATGGATAATACCATCTTGATTGATAGGTATGTACTGCTTTCCGCAGAAAAACACACGAGATTAACGGTAAATGGAAGTAGTATTCCAGTGATCAGATATATTCGGCTCCACCCTGAATCTCTCGGATCGTGACAAAACCGGAAATCGGATATAGTCATCGAATTCATACGTTTATTTTTCTTACTTTTCCCGGCGGGTTTTGGACACAAAGTCACGGAATACTGCTTCAAGAGTTATCGACTAGGGCATATAAAAATTAAGGAATCCGAATCTATTATTATTACCCGTTATTCTTTTCTTCAGGACAAAACTATTGTTAGCCAAGTTTGCAAACGTATCGATATTTACTTTTGTTGTCAAAGATGAAATCAAACACTGTTTTAACTCGCATGAATATGTGTCGAAAATGGTTTGGTGCTCTTTGGCTTTTAATCGAAATGAACATTGCCAGTGCGAATATATTTGGTTTCGCTGCACTTTTTAAAGTCTTACCACAGTATGGGATATTCGATGAATATTGTCATTATTTTGATGGTATGAATTCGACAGAACGTGATTGTTCACGTCAAACACACCAATATGAAGTAAATATATTTAAAAAAATAAAAGCATTCAACTTTATGTAATGAGTAAGAGTTTTGTATAATATTTCAGAATGCAATGACATTAGGCATTATTTTTTTTAATGTGCCATCAATGTTTTTCGGAATGATAATCGATCGTTTTGGTTGTCGTTTTATGAAGTTGTTTGCAGTGTACTTATATTTTTTTCAAAAATTTCTAATCATTTATTTTCATATTATTGTAGAGTTTTTCATATCGTGGGATGGTTATCATTGGCTCTTTTAAAACCTGGTTAGTGTTTCCAAAGATTTTCTAATTTATTTACATAAAAATTTTTTATTCATATCAGGTCATGATTTACTTCTATTTGCTCACACATTTTTTACAGCACTATCTGGAATAATTGTGTTAATAACAAGTTATGCATCATCCAACTATTTTTCAAAATCAAGCCCAATTCTATTAACATTACTCATTGGTTCGGGCTCATCTTCTTCGATATGGTATTCAATTTTTCAAGTAAATAGTTCATTTGAAAATAAAAAAGAAAATTATATCTCAAACAATTTGATAACGACTTTTAGGTCATTGTTGATCATAATCTATTAACATTGTCACAATTATCTTATATTTGGATGTCACTCGGTGCACTTCTGTTTTTATCATCGTTTTTATTTCTTGATTGGAAAATTTCAATACTCAACCTTCCATATAAATTCAATGATGGATCAAATCAAATTCCATCAACATCAAAAAATATTATTTCTAAAGTAATAGATACTCCCTGTGATACAAAATGGTATACAAAAATTTATCAACGGATTGGTCTTTGGCAGCATTTAACGAATCCCTTATATGTATTAAATGTTTTGTACTTAGGTTTTTTAATGATGCCGACGATTCTTCTATCTATTATTTGGTATCCATGGGTCTATTTTCTCAACGGCAATGATAAAGCACAAGGTAGTAGATACATAGTGTACCTGATTTTATTGTTTTAATTTACTGTATTCAAGCTTCACCTTTTATTAGATCATCAACTTTTCTTTTCTTTTCTTTTCTTTTGTTGAATTTAACTGAAGATTTTTGAGAAGCCGGAAAGAAACAATCGCCGAGCGAATACCTTTTAATTTTCCATTTTTGAGACTATCCTGATAAAATAAAACAACTCGTAAGAGAAAACTTTGACTGAATGACCACTAGAAACGATCAGATCGAAAATCTCCGAACTTGCATCTCACTAGAGTTCAGAACCTATACGGTGTATCATAAAGATATTTACGATACAAAAATTGAATATCTCCCCCTTTTCTCGTATATATAGGGCTGATTTTTTTGTGGATGGTAGAGAAGTCTTCAAAGTTTTTATTCATAAGAAAACCATCAATGGATTTTGTTTTGATCTATCATTGATTATCAAAACTCGTTAATATAGCATTTTTCAGTTTCTAAAAAAAAGTAAATTCAGACTATTTCTGGCATATTTTCTCTACTGCAATATCAGATAATAACAAACAAGTCAAGGCAAATCTTTATTCAAGAAGGTAGAGCGATGTACACTGAGAAAAAATAGAAAATAAGTCGTTTGAGATGCTCAAATTGATGTCCATCAGCATCAATACATCGTTGAAGTCTTTCAGGTACCGATTCGCAAACCTTCTTACAAAGATCAGAATCGAGTGTTTGGAATGCAGACACAATTGATTCCTTGAGATCTGATAGATTTTTAAGTTTATCTTTGTATACAATTTCTTTGATATGCTCCCATGCGAAGTAATCTACAGATGTTAAATCAGGTGATCTGGCTGGCCAATCGATGGGACCTCGGCAACCAATCCACCTTGATGGAAACTTTTGCTCGAGCCATTCTCTCACGTCACGAGTGTAGTGAGCAGAAGCACTATCTTGCATTAGGACCATGTAGTCATTCTCTGGTAGACGACGAAATAATGGGTAGAAATAATCTTTCATCAAGGAGAGATAACTTTGACCAGTAACAGTGGTGTCGAAAAAAAAGGGACCAATCACTCATTGAGGTCAAATACCGGCCCATATTGTGAGACCTTCGGCTTGCATCGATCGTTCCCAAGGGATATTTGGATTTTCCTTCGACCAATAAACTGAGTTGTGACGATTGACCTTGTCTTTGAGTTTGAATTCAGCTTCGTCGGACTAGATCACTCGATTGATAAGATCAGGATCATCCTCTAATAGAGAGAGGAATGTCTCACAGAACTCTACTCGACGATCAAAATCGTCTTCATTCAACTCGTGAATTAATCGTGGAACATATGCTTTGAATCCAAGACTCCTGCAAATACGTTGAACTGACGCCTGTGAAATGTTTAACTGCAAACTCATGCGACGAATTTATGCGTGAGATTGTTCAGTTAAAATTCCCAATATTTCATCTTTGGTGCTCTGGTTTGTGATCGACACCGGTCGACCAGGTGAATGAATATCAAGTACAGACCCAGTTTGTTCGAATTTATTCATTCTTGCATTGATTGTAGGACGACTGGGAGGTTCATTCTCCATCTCTTTGCGCCAAAGTCTCTGCACTTGACTGGGATATTCAAGCCTATGCATAGTTTTTACAATCCAAACTTTTTCGTTAATAGTAGATTGACAACGAGTCATGATTTGCGCTCAAGTGGATGGAATGGAAATAGAATCGAAAAAAATAATGTAATAAGGATTAGAACGGATATATATATATATATGTATACAAGAGAAATTAAGAGAGAACACATAAGAGAGAAAGACCATGACATCATGGACGATAGAAACGAAAGAGAGAAAAGGTATACGAAAAATGTGAAATGTACAGAAACCCACTGAGATAAAAAAATGCACTTAATGACACCAAAAGAAGCGGAGCTAAAGTGTGTGTATTATTCAAGAATGTCGACATAATGTAACAGACCAAAGATGTACACACAAGCAATCATGCCTGCAGTTTTCTTGTTATTGTCTGATGTTGCAGTAGAGAAAATATGCCAGAAATAGTCTGAATTTGCTTTTTTTTAGAAACTGAAAAATGCTATATTAACGAGTTTTGATAATCAATGATAGGTCAAAACAAAATCCATTGGTGGTTTTCTTATGAATAAAAACTTTGAAGACTTCTCTACCATTCACAAAAAAATCAGCCCTATATATACGAGAAAAGGGGGAGATATTCAATTTTTGTATCGTAAATATCTTTATGATACACCCTGTACGATCAAAAATAAACAATCTCTATAGATAAGTTTTCTTATTGAAAATTTGATGTCTTACAAAATATTCTTTCTACAAAGAGAGTTGTAAAACTATTCTCTTATATATTTTTATACGGAAATGTTTCATTTTAGCTGATAAATACACATTTGCGCTCAATATGTCAGCGGTATCACAAATTGTATTGTGTCCAATTATTGGTTTATTACTTGCATTTGGAACGCATCGCGGTATGTATTAAGACATGTCGAGTTCATGCTATATAACGGGTGTCCCAGAATAAATTATACCATTCGTATTTTGAGTATAACTCTTCTATTATCCATTAGATCGGGACATCTTTTTATACTAAAAGATAGCGCTTGAAATTCTCTACAAAATT